TTCTTGGGGGAGGGGGGGGGGGTGCGGGCGAGAATAATCAGTTTCTAGGGCGCTGCGAACCTCCCCGATATATATATTTTTTTTCTTTTAACCAGCTATTCTAGGGGCTTTTGTAAGCTATAACAAGAGCTGCACAGGCGTAATTCAGGCAAAAGACGTGTGGCTATGGCCCTTGGGACGGGGTCCAGCCAGATATTAAGGGGAAAACTGCCCCCCAGCCCCCTAGTTGAAGCCCCTGGTTGAGGTATAGGGAAGTTTATGGGTGAATTAGAATTATTTTTCATTATCAGTCTTTATCTGTCTCTGTCTCTCTCTCCCTCCCTCTCTCCTCTCTCCTCTCTTTCTCTCTATCAACCACACCATCCACCCACCAGCCCACCTCCCATCCTTCACCAACAAACCATCATGTCACGTGACTAACAGTACACAGCAACTCAGGCGGCCACGCAACGTTTCCTCCACGAATCTCCTCCTGACCATCCAACCATACGCCGGGAATGAATGGACACGATTTAGTCTGGTTGCGTCCTTGGCTGTGTGGTTGTAGGAGAAGTGGGCGTAAGCGGAGACGCCGTACACTGTGCTGTCCGTGTCCAAGATGGCGGACGTCTGTTGCATGTATCTGGCCCAAGGAACAGGAGGGACGGTTAGGTTAGGTGACTGCCTGAGTACTGTCGCTTTCTTAATAGATTATTATGTTACCTAAAATATTTAAGTAATGTATGCTGATTATTTTCATACCGTTCTTGTCAGACTATATATACTGTATACATCAGACTCGTATATTAAATATATATATATATATATATATATATATATATATATATATTATATACATATATACATAAATCTATATCTATACTACACCACACACACACACACACACACACACACACACACACACACACACACACACACACACACACACATAATATATATATATATATATATATATATATATATATATATACATTGTGTGTGTGTGCGTGTATGTGTGTGTGTGTGTGTGTGTGTGTGTGTGTGTGTGTGTGTGTGTGTGTGTGTGGTGTGTGTGTGTGTGTGTGATGCATATACGTGCATTATAAACATGTCTTGCACTTACGAATAAAAATCTGGTGAAAGGAGAAGATCGTCCTCAAGAACTATGAATTTGTCGGTGTCTAATTCCTTCAGGCCTTTGAAGAGAGCAAACCTCAGATGCCTAACAAGGAATGATGTTATAGTACGAGTGCTATATCATACGGAGAAAAAAAGGAGGCGTTATGATGATAATTATAATACTAACTAGAAACGCATACCTCCGCCAAGGCAATAAGGTCACTGATGCAATAAAAAAAAAAATATTCGCACTAAAATAATTACATTAGAATCACCTTTCTCAAGTACACAGATGACGCCCGTAAACCTAATCTCCTTGGCGGAGGCAATGATGCAATCTTTTAAATAACACAGATCATGATCCGGATCACCACCAAAATTTATTGCAATCTATGTTAGGCTAAGGCACACCTCCAGTTAAAATTTCATATATATATATATTATATTATTATTATATATATATATATATATATATTATATATATAATTTTTTTTTTTTTTTTTGCGTTATCCTGCAAACAAACGGACAAACAATATCCGGATCGCAACCAAAAATTAATGGTATTTAAGTTAGGCTAAGACACACCTCTGTTAAACATTTCAGAAAAATCTATTATAACAATGATGAATATGCAGAGGGTCGAATGGAAATGGAAATTATTTTTAAATACAAATAATCTCATTTGCATGAAAATAATAAGAAAATAATAAAGGATGAGAATGATAACAATAATAGCAATAATAATGATATTAATGATAATAAAAACATTAATAATGATGATAATAACAATAATAGTGACAGTTATAGTAATAATGATGATAATGAGAATAATAATGATGATAATAGTAATAATAATAATGATTAAAGGTAATGATGATGATGACGATGATGATGATGAGGATGAATATGAAGATGGTGGTGCTGGTGGTGATGGTGCTACTACTGCTGCTGCTGCTGATAATGATGATGATTTTGGGGAAAGTGTCAGCTCCTCCACTTACCTAGAAATCCTTGGTGATCCTACCCCTACTGGATGATGAATTAGGTACTTAAGTTCAAAAATCTCCACCAGTTTCACAGGTTCCTCGTGAAATCCGTCAATGGACACGAAAATCTGCGTCTTATTCACGCCAGGTTGCAGAAGGACTTGGCGTAACAGCCTGTTAAAAACAAGGAACGCGCTTGATAGGCCTACGTAACTAATGGTGGCTACATTTTGTTATGACTATGGCTATAGTATTTAATATATTTGATCTCAGCAGTGTAAGCTTACACCTTAGATAATCTAAAATGTACCTCTCAATGTTCCTGGTCCAAGATGACGCAGTGAAACACGTGACATTAAACGATCCCTAACCTATCAACTTAACATAGCCCGACTAAGCTGAATATCTATAATCTAATGACCTGTCAGTGATAAAGGGTAAATGCACTCACCTATATAAATACTGCGGGCGATTCCCTGTCACCAGCAAGATGCCAATGTCTTCACGCCATGTGTCCTAGCAAAGATCATGTTTTATAGAATGAGATTTCATACAGACCATCATTATGATTGTTAGGTTAACAGTAATATTTGGCGTTAAAATTTATTATACTGGCTTTAACGGTTCCAGATTAAAGGCATTTTAGTTCATTATTTCAGACACCAACCACCACTATAGATTTTATCCCATCCAGGCACCCAAATACCATTTTCGGGTTATCGGCGGTTGTTGGGAAAGGGTTGTCGCAAGAACACAGATCTCCATATCCGTCGTAAGTATCACAAAACTGTTTCCTCTTCTCCCAAGTGCCACCCGTCGGCCAGTCTTCGCAGAAACGCTCTGAGGAGAGAGAAAAAAAACTTTTTGGAACAGAACAAACGTATCTTTTCATCCTTTCTGTTTTTATTACCCACGGAATTACGAATGAAGCATTTGAAGACAGGTACCTGATGCATTGACCGCTGGTATCTGCAGGGACAAGTACAAAGGCGGTGGGATGGTTTCGATTCCATTTTGGTTGGTGACCAATCCTTCTGCTAAGGTCGCTCCGCCCACCTGCCACACCCACGCCCAAAGGTCACGGAATCTGAGGTGCTGCGCTGCGAAAGATCCACATTCCTCAAGGGCGTCCCTCACTGGTGTTTCAAAGTGGCCAGTTACGTCGTACTGAAAAAAGAAGCATGGAGTCAAGTACCTGTGGCTGTTGTGTACTGAATATTTGCTGCAGAATAATAGAAGCAAGAAAGTAAAGGCGAAGTTGCAATAAGAAACTAATGCATATTACATGGAATCAATCTCTCAAACAATGCATGAAAACCGTTTATGAATCTTGAAGGTACACATATTATTTCACATCTATTATTATACAGGTGCTATAAAGCTTCACAGTGAACAAATGCAATAGAAGGAAAATTGAAGCACCCACAAAGGAAGCGACGATGGAATTCGACCTTTCTTGAGGTTCCGTATATTCTCAAGAATTCCTTGTCCATGAAGTAATCGGTTGAAAAGTACTTTGCTGAAGGTAAGCTGTCGAGTGTGAGGATTGATGACTCGAAGGAACAATCCGGTGTAGGGAGATGGGCACCCACTTCCCCACTTTCACTTCCCCTTCAAATACTCGAACAACAGCTGAGGAAAGGCAACAATACAAAAATCAAAAATACTGCTAGGACAAACGTCATTAATTCAGTATGCCAATAGAGCAGTTTCGAGTTAATTTAGATACTAAGAAAAACATACGCTGTAATTGTGTCGCAGTTTGCAATTAAGAAAAATGATTACGCTGGCAGTGACAATAAAGACTTTCCATTGGAGCTGCAGTCTCCCCCAAATACTGACTGCCTGGTATGAACAAGGTGTGTAAAAGAAGGTAGCGTTATCCCAATTAGATCTGTGATAACACTAAACGAAAAATGACTTTTTGCTGTTTGTTTTGTAAGCTTCAATGTAACAAAAAATAACTTCGCAAGCTTAAACAAGTGTCGATTTTTGTTGCACTTCTAATACTGATAATGACAATGAATAATAAAAAACAATCCGTTATTGGAAACAATTTGTGTCCTTATTGGCTAGCTATGACACCACCGGGTGACTTAACCTAAGCTCCGTCCCATTTTGAGGCGGGAAAGCGCTTTATTGTAATGGGTTGACATTCTAACGCGATATTGTTAAACAGAGTGCCTTGAGCTTCACTTTCTTCCCGTATACTGATTCAGTAACATATATCATAACTCTGAATTTCATTCACTAAGATTAGTGATTCTACAGATTGCAAGCGCAACAGTCCACTGATTTTTTACATTTAATTCAGCTTGATTTTGTTTGCTGTTGGCCTGATGTTGTTACTTCATTGAATGAAATCTAACTACATATATAAGGATCTTCAAAAAGCGAGATACCAACTTAGTTAATTTCCCTCCACTCCACATGCCAACACCTTACATTGATAGCCTCCTTGGTATGACTCCATTAACCTCACATTAAATTGATATCAACTAACAAGCATTTTCTAGTAACATTACTTTCAAAATATTAAAATACTTTTTTTTTTTTTTTCTTTTTCCTCCAAACTAGGAAGAAATTTGTTTTGTGCTATTTGGATATACATGAGGCTCCGCCCAGTCCCAGGGTTAATCACACAGCTGGCAGGACTGTTCACGATCTTCAATTATAATATTTGACTTGCTAGACTAGGCTATAGTTGTCGATCTTTTGCATTTGCATTTGCATATATCACACTGATTACATTAATACTGGCATATGTGTTCGGAAGTTGTAAATCATTGTTGGATTTCTTATTTCTTCGAAAATGGTAGCAAGCTAGTTGACAAGTCTTTGTCACATTTGATAATAATGAATAATATTATTTTTTATTTACAT